GTAATCCTTATAGAAAAGTGTAATCATTATCAAAAGTCTACATTATATAGAATTTGTCGAATTTCGCATGTATACAATTTAGCATTAGAATTATTGTTATAAGAGATAACTATGAGATATCAATTCTATTTGCGCATGCAATAATATTTGACTTTAATTTTTAATATATTCCAAAAAAAATTTTATTCAACATTATTTATTTTCATTTTGTTTTTTGTTAAAATTTAAATTCGTATAAACATTTTAAAAGAAACTATTAAAAATATTCACGGATTGTTGTGAAAAACTATTATAACGATATATACAATTCAAATGATTAATAATTAAAATATCACATATCAAGATTATGCGAGAATGTCATTCACAAATTACGTATTTTAAATTTAAGATATATACATATACATATATATGTACTAATATATTCGCGAGTTGTTTAAATTTTTATCGATGCGTTTCGTTTACTAAATACAAGTTATTCAAACAAATGATGGAACAATAGAATTAATGATTGAACATTTAAATTATACTACATAACGTTGTATATTGTAACAACTTCTTTTTCACCTTCTTTTTGGGGAAATTTTTTATCTTAATGTTCTCACGTTTGTCATTTGAATTTATTCATTGAATAGTAAAATGGAATTTTCCAGAAAAATTCTTATATTTTCTTATTTCCTCTCTCTTGTCATTATTATTTTAATTATTATATGAAAGCCCCTATTGATAGGCAACCCGTTTTTCGAGACGGTCAACGGAAGTATTTAAAAATTAAATGCTTCATTAAGTACGATTATTTAACGTTTCTCTTAATTACTAAACAATTACCATATCATCTAATTATAATAATAAATTTAAATAATTATTTTAACATTTAACGAGAAGTCTTATATAAATTATACATATAAAAAAGCATTACCGAATCAATAATTAATTTCATTCAATCTTTTGTATTCAACTTTAATTAAAACGATTATATAATGAATAAGGAATGCAAAAATTCGAATATAGTAATATAAAATTTATTTATTAACATAATAAGTCAGATAAATCGGTTCGAAAGCTACCGAGATTATCCAATAGATGGTGCATGTGTCGAACATCACAAAACAGTTCCAACATGGCTTCCTATCGATCGAGATTGTGCGCCCTTTTTGCTTTGACTTTAATTTCATTAATAATTTGAAAAAAAGTAATCAAATAAAATCAATAATAGTGTGAAATATCGTAAAATAACGAAACCTTTCGAAATATATTCATTTTGGGTGGTGTCACATCGATGAGAAAGATTCATCAAATATAATAAATTTAACGAGAAGTCTTGTATAAATTATACATATAAAGCATTACCGAATCAATAATTAATTTTATTCAATCTTTTTTATTCAATTTTAATTAAAACAATTATATAATGAATAAGGAATGAAAAAATTCGAATATAGTAATATAAAATTTATTTATTAACATAACATAAGTCAGATAAATCGCTTCGAAAGCTACCGAGATTATCCAATAGATGGTGCATGTGTCGAACATCACAAAACAGTTCCAACATGGCTTCCCATCGATCGAGATTGTGCGCCCTTTTTGCTTCGACTTTAATTTCATTAATAATTTGAAAAAAAGTAATCGAATAAAATCAATAATAGTGTGAAATATCGTAAAATACGAAACCTTTTGAAATATATTCATTTTGGGTGGTGTCACATCGATGAGAAAGATTAATCAAATAATAATCGAAGCAACAATTGAACATCAAATCGAACGTAATTTCAAATTAAATCGATGGCGCGTCGATCACCATTTCCCGCGCAATTTCATTTCGTTCTTGTACTTTGCGCCAAGTAAAAACAAATCCAAACTATAATAATAACGCGTTATCATTGAATCATTTTTACCGTTTCGATCGTTAAACTGAATAAAAAAATCGGATTTCTTTTCATTTCGATAATGAAATTCATATTGAAAATCCCTGAAGGATTTTAAAGAATACAAAACGAGGTAAAGTAAACCAACGAAAGGAGAAGAATTTCATTATTATTCATAATATCATAAAAATGATCTCCTATTGGATCTCGGCTAATAAATAATATTTATTTAAATACAAATCTGCATAAAAATTATTTACTTATCTAATACCAATGTCAATGTTAACAAAATATACGAATAAAAAGCTTAGAAAAAGAAAGAAAAGAGAGACAGAGAGTGAGAAAGAGAGAGAGAGAAAGAGAGAGAGAGAGAGAGAGGTAAGAAAGAGTCAGTGTATAAGAAGGAAGAGTGGGGGACATGTGGCGGTATTGGAATGCGCGCGCAATACGATAAGGAAGAAGCAAAAGCTTAATTCGTTATCAGTGCGACGTAGGCTCGGCCACGAGTCGGTCCAACATTTGTCCAAGAGATCGCGCCACCGAGCGGGCTACTTTTAGATTGATTTTCAAGAGCACAGCACAGCATACATCACATCACATCACATCACATAACATATAACATCACAAGCAAAGCAAAGCAAAGCAGCAGCAGCAGCAGACATAGCAGCAGTAGCAGTAGCAGTAACGGAGAAGAAGAGGAGTAAAGCACAGTACAACAGAAAAGAACAGACCAGAACAGAACAGATCGGAAGAAAAGAGAGAGAGAGAGAGAGAGCAGGGGTGGAGAGAGGAGAGGAAAGGAGAGGAAAGGAGAGGATAGGAGAGGAGTGGAGAGGAGTTAGAAGTACCGTGTGCCGGTGCACGGGGCCAAAGAGGTCCGCGTTTATTTTAACGTAGTTCGAAGGGCGTTCGAACGGGCCGCGATTGGACGGTCGGTGTCGGACGCTCGCTCGGATGAGTCGACCTTCGCGTAGAGAACAAGTCCATCGATAAGAAGTTTTTTGATCGTATTTTAACCCGTTTTTGGAGAAGATTATTATTATTATTATTATTATTATAATTATTATTATCTTGGTGTTTTCCTTGTTTAATCTCTTTCTTTATCTTTCTCTCTTTCACACTCTTCTTTCTCCTTCTTTGGAATCTTCTATGAAAATAATCCAATCGCGAAGAAAATACTGGAACAATTCTTATTCGTTGATAGTGAGGAGGAACTCCTTTCTCCGTCGTCGTTCCTTCAAGCTCGGCTAACGTTTAGTGCGGATCACGCAGGCGCTCAAACGCTATCATCTCTCTCTCTCTCTCTCTCTCTCTCTTACTCTTGCTATCTGTCTTCTCTCTCTGTCTCTCATCCCTATCTCTCGCGTGCTGCTACAGTCGTTCTCTCTCTCTCTCTCTCTCTCTCTCTCTCTTTCTCTTTCTCTTTCTCTTTCTTACTATCTTTCATTTACCATACCACACCAATCCTCTTCCTCCTCCTCCTCCTCCTCCTGCTCCTCCTCTTCGACAACGCAAACACTCCACTACCCTACCAACACAAGTATACTATTGCTACCCCACCACTAGTAATTCTATCACCACTAGCAGTAACCTATTAGCATTACTAGTAGCACCGGCACCCTTCACTCCTCTTCTCACTCTCTATCTCTCTCTCTCTCTTTTTATCTATCTATCTATCTATCTATCTATTTATCTATCTATCTATCTCTTTCGCGCGCACACCTCAGGCCACCAGCGCCGAACGTTTCGTTCGTACGTACGTACGTACGTACGTCCGTCCGTTTGTCCGTCCGTCCGTTCCCTCCTTCCTTCCTTCCTTATCCCGCACCGTAGTCGAGTTTAAGTGTGTGTAACTTATACACGATAATAACGCGGGGTCCCCCTTAAGCCACGGGGCCACGAGAGAGAAAATACACGGGAGTGTGCGCGCGTGTATTGTTCGAGACCAAACGAAGAAGTGTGGTGCGGTTTTTCGTGGCGCAGTGCGTGAAATGAGCGACAAGGACCGTTCCTCGCCAACCCTCGTTGAAAACAGCCTCAAGTCGCTACTCGACCAGCCGAGTATCTTTCCGCTGATCGGTAAGTACAAGAGATCAAAAGTTATATATATATATATATATATGTATCTATATCTATATCTTATATCTTTATATTCATATATATATGTCACGCGCATTCGCGCTCTTCTAACTATCTATCTCTATCTCTCTCATACACATAACACACGTTTTTCGTTGCGCTCTATTCTTTTCCTCGTTGGATTAACGTGCACCTGAAAAATTCTTCCTATGTTTTTCTATTTTTTTCGTTTATGAGACGTGTTATGCATTGTGAGAATCAATCGTGTTATCTCTCTCTCTCTCTCTCTCTCTCTCTCTCTCTTTCTTTCTTTTTCTTTCTATATCTTATTTCTCGTAGGTATTTATCGAAGAC